ACACACACACACACACACACACACACACACACACACACTAAAAACTAATAACGCTAAAAACACATCTTGAGCCAAACTCGTGGGGACGGTCCCCACAGGTATAGTAGCATCTTCACATACCTGCACTTTGAAACAGCTTCAGTCTTTCTACTTGTACATGATGTTGATTCATGGATAATATCCAAATCCATGCAGAGCCATAAATCAAGCTGTGTGAAGCACTAGCTAGAGTCAGTGAGTGGAACCAAAGGCAAAACCAGAAATGGGCCACACCCAAAAACATTGGTTTGCTGTAAGGTGAAAAGGCTCTTTGTAGTCATAGTTACAATAGCAAAACATGGCAGTGGTGAGGTAACATAACAACGAACTGACATCCATCATGACTGATTCAACAATCAGGCAAAGTGTGGCCTGCTGTTCTTTGGATGTTGTCCTGGCTTCTGTTGTGATCTACTTGAAGGTCAGGCCAGTCCTGGGAAGGTTCACCACTACTCCAAGTTTTCTCAATTTCTGTTTTTTGTTTTTGGACATATTCAGCCTACTTTACTTTTACTTTGTCAAACAGACTCTGTTTGAGTTACATTTTTTTTTTCAACTGGCCTTACTTACAGTAATCAGTAAGTGAAGTGCCAGTCAGCAGATGGTTGCTGGTGTATTTTAATAAGACTTTTGTATATTCAGCACTTGTATATTAACTGTCAGCATGTGAAACTGATTCAAAATTGTGAAACAACGAAAGTGAGCTTATTTTGTCCAGTGAGGTCCCTCCCTAATGTAATGTTAACTGGAAGAGGTTGTGGAAGTTCAGTGAACTCCCAGGAAACTTCCTTTATTTTGTTTATGACTTGCAGTTTGTGTGTGTGTGTGTGTGTGTGTGTGTGTGTGTGTGTGTGTGTGTGTGTGTCTGTGTGTGTGTGTTTGTGCTTACCCCTGCACTCTTTATATAAACAATAAAAATCTTTTAAATACGCTTCAAACTTGTCGCTTGCTTTTATTCCTCTTGAATAAATTACACACAGATCATATGGATTTACTCATATGAGAGAATTGAAATGATTTTGTGTGTGTGTACCTAAAATGTGCAAATGCACACAGAACAGACAGAAAGAGGAAGTAAATGTTAAATTAAAGCAGCGTCAGCTCCTGATTGATCAGACACAGGGACAAGCGACTGACAGGTTGAAGTTGTTCTCCTGAAGTGTAGCATATTTCCTCCATTTGGATCACTTTGACAATGAAGCTCCTGCATGCTGTGATCTTCTTCTTCTTATCAGGTGAGATCTGATGACCTTTGTATTGCTGTAGCTGTGTGTGTTTTTTTAATTAATCTTTTTATAATATTGATGCTAGCTTCTACACAGGGCGCAGAGGTGCTTGGTTGTGTTCCTGAATTTTTTTTGACATGGCTGATATACTGTGGGATGCAAAAGTTTGGGCAACCTTGTTAATAGTCATTATTTTCCTGTATAAATCGTTGGTTGTTACAATAAAAAAGTCAGTTAAATATGTGATATAGGAGACACACACAGTGATATTTGAGAGGTGAAATGAAGTTTATTGGATTTACAGAAAGTGTGCAATAATTGTTTAAGCAAAATCAGGCAGGTGCATAAATTTAGGCACCACAAATGGAATCAATATTTAGTAGATCCACCTTCTACTGAAATGACTGTCACGGCGGGGTGCGCCGGTGTGAGGAAAGAGGTAGACCCAGATGCAGACACGGTGGAGACAAAACGTAGTTTCAAAAACAAAGCGAGCCTTTATTGGCTGATTGCAGAAGAAAAACAAGGAACTAGGGAAACTAAGGAGGCTATGAACACTGTTAACAAAAAGGCTGTGACACTCAGTGAAAAACTATGACAAACTATGAACACTGAGTAAACTAGAAAACACAGAGAAACAATGGAGTAAACCTATGAAAACTGTGGTGATGTTAACAGACGATCTGACACTGACTGAGTGGAACACACAGACTAAATACACATAAGGAATGATCAAAGGAAGTAGAATCACATGGGGAAAACAGCTGACAACAATTAACATAATGACAGGACATGTGAAACGAAACATAACACAAAACTCTTTCAAAATAAAACAGGAAACATAAGGAGATCCAGACACGACTTGAACTTGACAAATAAAGAAAACTTGTACATGAAACATGGCAGAATGTAACTAGATAAACCAAAATGAAACTACACTAAAAAGAATAACAAAACACCAAGAAACTCAGAATACTGGGTCACATGACCCAGGGCCATGACAATGACAGCCTCTAAACGCTTCCTGTAGGTTCCAATGAGAGTCTGGATTGTGGTTGAAGGTATTTTGGACCGCTCCTCTTTACAGAACATCTCTAGTTCATTCAGGTTTGATGGCTTCCAAGCATGGACAGCTCTCTTTAACTTACACCACACTACAACTGCAGCTCTCCTCCACCAGTGTGTGAATGTGTGTCAATGGTCAATGGTCAATGGTAACTTTATTGTCCCTGACGGGAAATTGATTCGCAGTATGTCAAAACGAACAACAAACATACAACCAACACATCACG